AGTGTATGGCAATTAGCTTTTATCAGATACATTCATCCATTTTCTCTTAGAAAAGACAATTTCCCCTCAACCATATGAATTACTTTTTCATATTTCTTCACCTATCATTATCTTTGATTTGATCAGAAAATCCTTTAGCAATAGGTTTAGTTTTTAAAGGTAAGAGAAAGATTTCAAAAATGCTCTAGTTCCCCTTTAATACTGATAGAATTCCATAAAATAATGTATTTTTTAAATCTTCAATTTTGTTTTGTAAATACTGAAATTAAGTAATTCTAAGACAAAGAACTGCTGTCTTTACCATTTGCATCAAAAATTTCTGTTAATTATTTCTTTACTTTTCTACAAGGGTTATAAAAACTAGTTTAAAAACATGTTTAACCCAAAATTTGGGTTTAGAAACAAATACAGGGTGGCCAAAACTTTTTTGAAAAAATCCATACAAAAATCTGTACATTTTCAGAAAAAAACCGTATAATCAGTACAATTTTCGAAAAAAAATCCTTACAATCTGTACAGTTTTCGAAAAAAAATCCGTACAATCCATACATTTTCTTTTAAAATCCATACAGTTTGTACAATTTTCGAAAAAATCCCTACAATCAGTACATTTAAGAAAAATAATGATGATGAGAACCCGGAAATAATGAAAAATAAGATCAACTGAAGAAACTCAACTTAAACTCAATTTTAAAATCCATTTATCTTTGCAACCTGAAAACCTTTGGTTTTTGAAATAAAGCCTGATTAATCTGGCAGAATTCACAGCTTGTAATAACAAAAGTCTACCGCATAAGGTTGCAAAGATATTAAACTTAAACATTACTATTAAACACTAGAGAGCTGGAGAACTAGAGAACTAGAGAACAAGATAACTTAGAACTAGAGAAATAAAGAACTAGAGAACTAGAGAACCAGAGAACCAGAGAACCAGAGAACCAGAGAACCAGAGAACCACAGAACTAGAGAACTAGAAAACTAGAAAACTAGAGAACTAAAGAACTAGAGAACTAGAAAACTAGAGAACTAGAGAACTAGAGAACTAGAGAACTAGAGAACCAGAGAACCAGAGAACAAGAGAACCAGAGAACCAGAGAACTAGAGAACTAGAGAACTAGAGAACCAGAGAACTAGAGAACCAGAGTACTAGAGAACTAGAGAACCAGAGAACAAGAGAACCAGAGAACTAGAGAACCAGAGTGCTAGAGAACTAGATAATAGAGAACCAGAGAACCAGAGAACCAGAGAACTAGATAACTAGAGAACTAGAGAACTAGAGAACTAGAGAACCAGAAAACCAGAGAACCAGAGAAACAAAAAAAACAAAGAACCAGAGAACCAGAGAACCAGAGAACCTGAGAACTAGAGAACTAGATAATAGAGAACTAGAGAACTAGAGAACTAGAGAACAAGAGAACCAGATAACTAGAAAACTAGAGAACCAGAGAACCAGAGAAACAGAGAACTAGAGAACTAGAGAACTAGAGAACTAGAGAACNTTGAAAAACTCCCTTCAATTAGTCACAAACTCAAAAATAATAGTATTAAATGTATTTTCAAAAGTCAAACAATCTTTTAAATTCCAATAAAATTGTCAAGTTGCCTTTCAAACATTTTGCTAGAACTAGAGAACCAGAGAACCAGAGAACTAGAGAACTAAAGAGCGTTGATTTTAATTTTTAAAACTGTTTAGATTGGTGTGAATTAGGCCATTTAACAAACAAACGATTAAGTTACAATAAGAAAGAGTGGAGTGTAGATTTAGGATCTAATATAATTAAAATTAGCGGGGTGGGAGGTAGTACATGGGTTGCACCCAATAAAAAGAAAGTTAATATTAAACTAAAAATGAAAAGATTTACAGATAAACAGAAGAAACCTGAGAGGATGTTCTCAGATCTGATAAAGAGACAGATAGATAGATAGATAAACAGACAGACAGATAAATAGACAGAGAAACAGATAGACACATAGATAAACAGAGAGACAGATAGGATATATAAACAGATAGATAAAAAGATAGATACACTGACATGCAGATAGATAGACAGATGGATAGACAGATAGCTAGACATAGAGCTAGACAGATAGCTAGACATATAGCTAGAAATAGAGCTAGACAGATAGCTAGACAGATAGTTGGGCAGATAGCTAGACAGATAGACAGATAGACAGCTAGACAGATAGATAAACATATTCTCAAATGAACACTTCTGGAACATATTCTCAAATGAGCACTTCTGGTACAAATCTCGAAAATTATCAATGAATTTTGATTGTCAATTGAAACATTAATCAATCTAATATTACTTAGAATGCAGAAAATAAGTTAAACTAACTATATTTTGACGAGATTTTTTTTTTGAAATTTTCATGAAAAATTTTCTGAAATGAGTGAAAATTAAAAAAAAATGGTGTATTTCCAGGATAAAAATCCGTACAATCCGTACAATATGAAAAAAATCCGTACAATCCGTACAATTTTAGAGTTACAAAAAAATCAGTACAATCCGTACATTTTGGCCACCCTGCAAATAAACCATTTTAATTTATTGATGTCTCTTCTGGTCAGAATAACAGTTCCTTCAAGTCAAAATGATCATGACTGTTATTAAAAAATCCCCTTTCTTGTAAATTTTGTTGATATTGAAATTATCCATACTTTGGCACTGTCTATTTTTGAACTTCTTTTGATGAAGTGAACAGAATTAAATTATTTGTAAAAAAAATGAAAACAACAAAATTAAGATTTCTGTAAGCGCAATGATTGAGGTTTTAGTTTTTCTGGGCCTCAGACTTTTTAGAATTGTCTTTGTTGTAGTTTTCTTTCCAAAAATGGGGAAACAAGTTTATTTCCAATTAGGCGAAAAATCCTCTCTATAGTCTTTAAGTACATTTCAAATTATTATGTTTTAAAATATAATTTCAAGAATTCCCTCAACCCCATAGAGGGAGGGGAAACAATTATTATTCAATTAGTAGGAGGGGAAATAAATTAAATTAAAATCATATTTTTTAAAACTTAACTCGGCAAATAAAAGCTAATATGAGGAGGGGGGGGGGGGGGTAAGGTTTAGAAAGGAAATAATGATGTATGTTTATGGAATTACCTCCCTTACAACTTTGCTTGCGTACTGTGATACGAGGGATGAAAAGCTTACTGCACTAGTTTTTCAGACTTCAGAAAAAAATTGTTAAACAAAAAAGGGGGCAGTCAAGATTTATAACAGTTGATGACATCATTTGCGGTTCAGTTGAACAAAAAGTGTGGTTTGCCTTCTCTACCTCATGATACCAGCGGGGACAGAAAGTCTGGAAACATATTCTTAGCTCTCTGTTTCCGGACCATTTATTTCTTTGGCTTGAATGCATAAGACACAAAAAATCCAAGTCACAACATTTGTTAGCAGTACTGCAATACAGATAAACATTGAGAATAAATAAAAAAGATTATATCATGCCATAAAATATGAGCATTACAAGAAGAAACAGCTTTACAGAATAAAGTTGAGGTATATTGTAAAACTTAGTTGAAGACAAGAAAATTGAAAGTATTCTTTGTTCAAGAAAATCTGTTGTCAAATGCAGTTTAAATCCTATGAATAATTTAAAACATTATAAAGTCTAGCATATAAATACTAAGGGTAAAAGCTTTTAAAGTTTTTTTTGAAAAGTTAATATTTTTTAATTCAATTTCCATTCCACCTATTTCTAGAATTAAATTTTAATTGGTCCAACATTTGGTAGTTTTCAATTTGTTTATTTGAAATTTTTTCACTAATGCTTGCCCATTACGTTAGCTTGTGCATCTTATGAGGCCTGCAATCTAATTAAACTTGAAATTCAAGACTGAACTGGATTAATTCTGGTCCAAGTGCTCCATTTAAACAATTAAATTTGAATTCAACTTAAACTGTATTTTAATTCAATCCCACTGTCTTCAGAGGCTTGAATATTCACAACTAAAGAAATTGTTGGCAAAATATTACTGAAAAATGTGCAGCCCCCTCCTGGCAAAATATTACTGAAAAATGTGCAGCCCGCAGCCCCCTCCTGGCAAAATATTACTGAAAAAGTAAGAGAAGAAATTGATTTATACCAATCTGTTCTTATTAATTTAACAATTAGAGTGCACATACAAAAGAAAAATTACGAAAAAATAATAAAAAAACATATTTCCTTTTACTATGGTTTTCCTGATGTGAGTATTCATGATTAATGCTGATATGATACGGACAATGAACATGTCAGGACAGAAAAGAAGATGAATAGTCTTTATCTCTAAAGGCTGAACCGTGACAATATTCATTATTATTTATATTAATTCAGGGGCGATTATATACCCCCNAGAATAAATGTTTGGACTTGTTTTTAGACTTGAATTTCTTTATTGATAGTTATCTCCCCAAAAAATTGGAGATATTTCTCCAAAATAAGATAATTAAAAACCTCAAAATTTTCTTAGTGCTTTTTGTGGATTAGTGGGGATGGGGTGGGGGGAATGATTTATCAACCAAGCTTTAAATCTTTATCTTAATAAAAAGAATTTTTCCTGAAAGTTTAATCTGCCATCTGAATTTTTATTATTTATTGACTTTATACAATACAATCTAATGTCATATTAGTAACCATAGTCCATTAATAGTTTAATAAAAGTATACCATTCAGGGAGAAGGATAGGTGGTGGGGAAGGGGGGGATTCCACTCTATTTAGAAATTAAATTCACCCCCACCATTCCTCCCATCCCTTCAGAAACAAGTTTTAGAAGCGCCCATCCAAGAAAGCAGTAACATTTATCTCCAGATTAAAAAGGAGGTTTTTGGATCCAAATCCAGTTGACAAATCTCGGGATCCAGATTGTGAAGGGAGGTTTAAAAGGATGCAGATTTACAAAAGGGTTTTAAGATCTGGATCCCATTTTTGCAGGATGGTTTTGAAAGGATTGTTTCATAATCAGGTTTTAGTTTTAGCAGAAGGGATTTAGAATCCGGAATCAGGATTTGACAGGACAGTTTTAAGGATCCAGATCCAGTTTGACAGATTTGAAAATCCGGAAACAAGGATCCAAATCTGGAAAAGGTGAAAAAAGAAAACTACTCACCAGTCCATCATAATCTATGAACTGTTGATGCTTGATTATCTGAATTCGACCGGCGCGCTCGAGACTCCGTAGGTTGGCCAGCAGCAGACCAAACTCAGCACATCTCTCATCCTACAATGATTGATTTTTCAACTTTAAAATGGTAATTGATGGGGGGGGGGGGGTCATTAACACCCCCCCCACGCCTCCAGTTTTGTACCAATAGCACTGTCATTTTAAAATGGCACAAGAACTCACTAAAATCTAAGAACTTTGAAAGTAATCAGATAATGGGACAAAGCTATTGGAACCAACATGAAAAATATAAACTTAAAGTCGTTAGAAACCCTTATACTAAAAAGCAATAGATTTTTGGTATTCCAAAACAAAATAAATATCAATAAAGATACATCTGTAAAACTCCCAATATGTTTTTTAAAGGTGTACTACAATATTTGAGAGAATTATGTACAGAAAACCTTTACTGGGGTTCTGGGCAGCACTGAGATTTGTCAATTATGTCAATGAGATTTGGATCAATGAAAACAAAGATAACAAACTTTTAATTTATTCAGTCTGTCAAATATAAAAGTTCCTTTGTGGGGTTTGAATATTCTGCAGATCGGAAAATGGCAAGTCATAGGAAATTAAATTCATAACTCTGAATATATTCTCATTCTTCAAAATCCAATTCAATAGAACCAAGAAAAACTTTTTATTAGATTTAGAAAAAAATATTCCTCTTGGTAACTCAAGAGTTTAAAAATTTGCCATTAAAATGTTTGCTTAGACATCTGTGTAGAAAAACTTTGCAACATTTTTAATTGAAAAACTCCCTTCAATTAGTCACAAACTCAAAAATAATAGTATTAAATGTATTTTCAAAAGTCAAACAATCTTTTAAATTCCAATAAAATTGTCAAGTTGCCTTTCAAACATTTTGCTTCCCCAACTGCCCCCCCCCCCCTCTCCCCTAACGAATATAGGAGATCAAAGAATCAGTTTTATAAATAAATACTTATTATCTGAATTAACCCATTCATTTATTCATCCATTCATTCGATTTGAGTTATTTAGAATTGTGTTTTGTAATAAAATATTTTGAAATTCAAAATATTTTTTTTTAACCTGGGCAGCTCTCATAGTCCACAGGAGATGACCTTCAGGACGCAGAATCCTAAATGTTTTATTTTATTTTTAAAAATACCCCCAGAGGGACCTTGTTTGACCTATTGTACGCAACAGTTCGATTATTGGAAAAAATTTGAAAAGACAAAAGTTAACTCAGAGCTGGAAACTTTTCTGTTGTAATTGGATACTCAATACTCATGATCCCGATTGCTTCATCCCGATAACCACTGTGGTCACATTGAACTTTAGGATCTATAAGAAATTATACCTTTCCATATCTTGCTTTTATTTAACCTCCCCTGATCCATTCAACCCCTGACTAGCTACGATTACCATGTGGGACATTGAATAGATTAAATTAATCTGCAGATTAACAAAAAACAAGATCAAGCATTGATCTCAATATCCATAATGCAAGAGTTCCCAGTGTTATTATTTGTTCTCTTCATTATAGTAAGCGGCCCCTTTAATGCATCAAATCAAATCAAATCAAATCAAATCAAATCAAATCAAATCAAATCAAGTATATATCTATCAAGACAATAACTCTTGAAATATGGCTAGCTTGGGAACGCAACTTTGCCTGAAAACTAAGTTTTCCCTATAAAAGTCAACCTACTAACAAACTCTAATCCAAGCTAAGAACATTCCCATGGTTCTACAGATTTATCCAATCCAAATTTGAGGCAAATAAGACTTCAAGGGGTTCATCAGTTTTAAATGGACTGACAAAAAAGATCACCGCTTAATAAATGAAAATATGATAAAACAACTAGTGTACAAAATTCTAAAAACTTGTACATATTTATGTGGTTTTATTTTAACCCTAACACCATCATTAAACAAATTGTTTTCTTCTGAAGCCTAAAACTAAATATTTAAACACAATGTGCTGAAGTTCTCAAACACAAAAGTAACAATATTGCAAAAAGTTTGATACTTAACTAAACTTTATTTTTCTTCTTATTGAAGAAAACTGCAGAGAAGAAAACATAAAAAGCAGGAAGCAAATCTAATTTGAAGTAGAGAAGAAATGAACTCTGTGAAAGAAAAGTGCATCAACAGTTTCAAATTCTCAATTTCATTTTAAACATATCACAAAAACTTGACACCAATTTTTCAAAAGAACAAACATATCGCATCAAAATATTTACTGATATACAGATTATTACTTTCAACAAACTACTAAATCTTGCAAACTGGAAAATATAAAAAATCTTTCAATATGGCGGCAAAAAAATGGTCCCCCCTAGTTGCGCGCCTGGAAAATGATCTATCACCTGATCAACTCGGTAATATCCAGTGGATTTATAGCATCCTAAATTTAAAGTATTCTAACCATATTATTTAAAAATTATATTTAGGAAATTCCAAAGAATTAATTTAATATTTAGAGTTTTCAAGTAAATGGAGAAGGAGGGGGGGGGGGAGTAATGTATTCTAAAAATGTTCAAATATTTATAATGTTTATAGGATACTTTTTATAATGTTTATAGGATACTTTTTATAATGTTTATAGGATACTTTTTATAATGTTTATAGGATACTTTTTTCATTAGCAAAACCTCCAGCAGTTATCACAACATCGTAAACATTAGATTCCAGACCAGTAGATCTTACACCCTTCACAGCGCTAAATAAACAAATAAAATTCAAATAAAAATGACAAAAATGGAATTTAAAGAGGTTGGATTTATTTATTAGCGAGAAGTAGACATGTGAATTAAACTATCCGTACCTAGTTCAACTTCTCACTATTCATTAATTGCGACCTAAGACTAACTAAAAATCCCTAAGTTTGTAAAAAATATTATGGGTGTACATAATGGTGTGTATTATAAAAATGTTAGAGAACATAAAGGGTTAACCAAGGATTAGACTTCAAAGACAACCAAACGGAATTTAAATAGTCTTTCAATAAATTCAAGATTCCTTGCAACACTAAAACTTGTTTCTCTCTTTAAATCATTAAATAAGCCATTTAGAATCGTCATATTTCAAGGGTTTAAGGTCGTTGATACAGTCTCATCCTTTGCAAGTAATCCTGTATAAAACCCTGGTTTAGAATTAGATCTGAAAAAATCCTAGATTTCAGTATCTTCTGCAAAGAAACGAACAACGAACTTAATGGTTGGGAATTTGCACCAGAGATAAGTACAATAGATGAAAACCAAGATAAATCTTTCTCGTTTGTATTTCTTCAAGCTAGAAATTCAAAAGGAGACTAATGAGACTTTTCCAAGAACAACAGTCTTATTTTAGAATACTTAAGATATTCTACATTTGCAAGAAATCTAAATTAATCTTCTAAACATCTAAAACTGTACTTTTCTCTTTCTCTTTTCCTTCTCTTTCCTTCATTTCCTTTTCTTTCCTTTCCCATCCTTCTCTCTCCATTCTTTCTTTTTCCATTCCTTCTCTTTCCATTCCTTCTCTTTCCATTTCTTGTCTTACCTTTCCTTCTCTTTCCATTCCTTCTCTTACCATTCTTCTCTTACAATTCCTTCTCTTTCTATTCCTCCTCTTTCCATTTCTTCCCTTTCCATTCCTTCTCTTGCCATTCCATCTCTTGTCATTTCTTCTTTTGCCATTTTTTCTTTTTCCATTCCTTCTCTTTCCATTTCGTCTCTTTCCATTCCTTTTCTTTCCATTTCTTCTCCTTCCTTCTCTTGCTTTCTCTTTCCTTCTTTATCCTTGTCTTGCTTTCTCTTTCCGCCTCTATCCGTTACTTTCTACTCTTTCCGACTCTTTCCTGCACTATTTTCCAGTCTGGTCTCTTTAACCTTCTCCTTTCCTTTCCCAGTTTAAGATGTGCCTGAACTAACCTATGTATATAGTTCCTGTACATGTTCAACTGCTTTAGCTCTTTAATAACATCTAGGTCTTCATCCAGAGCATCTAATAAAGCAGTTAGGTCAATTCATTACAAACGTCTAGGTCTTCCTCAAGATCATCTAATCAAGCAGTTCGGTCAATTCATAAATCACATCTAGGTTTACATCCTGAGCATATAATCAAGCAGTTAGGTCAATTCATTAATCACATCTAGGTTTTCATCAAGAGCAAATCAAGCAGTAAGGGCAATTCATTACTAACGTCTAGGTTTACATCAAGATCATCTAATCAAGCAGTTCGGTCAATTCATAAATCACATCTAGGTTTAAATCCTGAGCATATAATCAAGCAGTTCGGTCAATTCATAAATCACATCTAGGTTTACATCCTGAGCATATAATCAAGCAGTTGGGTCAATTCATTAATAACATCTAGGTTTACATCCAGAGCATCTACTCAAGCAGTTATGTCAATTCATAAATCACATCTAGGTTTAAATTCTGAGCATATAATCAAGCAGTTCGGTCAATTCATTAATAACATCTAGGTTTTCATTATGAGCATCAAATCAAGCAACTAGGTCAATTCATTAAACACCATCTGATTTCATCAAGAGCATCTAATCAATCCTTATTTAATTTTATCATTTTTTTTAACATATCTTTCAGTTTTAAAGGGATTGTAAGCGTAAATTTAAGTGACCCTCTATAGTACCTTTAAAAGACTAGTCTGATCAAGTATGAGTTTGAAAGCAATGTTTATAATTTTGAAACCTGATAATTTTAAATTGTGGGTTCTCTACAAAAGTGACTTGCGCATCGCACTGTAGCAAAATTCAGAATCAAACTCTTTTAAACCTAGAGAAACGACAACATCTTCCACATTATTGATCAGATAAAGGTTTCAAGAGTACCGTTGTAAATCAGGAATTGCCATCTTAGCACGTAAATTTAATAAAAATAACGCTTTCAGTCCCTAGTAATAAAAATTTAACCATTATTTTCATTTTCTTTTTCATTTCTACAATAAATCTTTTGTCTACCTATGTTGTAGTATCCTTTTGATTGCAGGAGACAAGAGAGAATTCCTGACCCTGCAGCAACGTCAAGTATCTCGGATCCATGGGGGACCTTCATCTAGAAAACATATGCATGAATAACCAATTACGGACCCGCGTAAAAACTGGCTTTTTTTTCTCTCTCTTTTAATCTAAATCGCCGCCCAGTATTCTGTAATTTTGACTTTTAACAAAAAGCTAAAAAATGTCCAGAAGTCAGAACTTGAGATCAAACATTGATCATCCAGATTTTTGAATCAATCTAATTTCTCTTTGATATCCAATGATGGTCATACCCTGCAGGGATAACTTTAATGGAGAATCAGGAAATAATTCTCAAATTTAAAAGTGCATACTTTGAATATCGAGATTAAACGTTTGAGATAAACAATATCCACTCTGAATATGTTTTTAGAGATATTCAATATTCATGTTTCAAAATTAAAATAATTAGGGGCATTACAATTGAAAAGAAAATAAGATGCCAATCATTGCGCGCTTAATCTGATTTGACTTAACCTAATTAACTGGCAGAAGCGCAAAGGAGGTACACGCATGCCGCATTGAATTACAAGACAGAGAGAGAGCCTGTTCTAGCCGCGGCGCTCAGCCACGTAGCCTATCCTAGGGGCGGCGCTTGGTCCCCTAGCCAGTCCTAGCCGTAGCGCTCGGTCCTGAAATTTTCTCTACCGAACATAACCCTAAAATATATCCTTATCTCTCTCTTATAATTTAATACGGCAGCGGCAACCGCGCGTAACTCCTTAAGGCAACTTTCTAATTAACTCCATAGATACTCTCCTGTGTATGGAGGTCGGCTTTAACATCTTATTTTAATCGGCATAAATGCAAACCAAATAAACAACCATAATAAGAATTGGTTAGACTCATGAATCATTTTAATTTTTTTTATAAGGGATTGTTAATAAAATTGGTAAAGAAACCCGTGGTTAGCAAAATTTTGGATTTCCCGAAAAAGTAGTTGTATATAATTGTACATAAAATGCACGAATTTTTTCAAAAAAATTTTGCATAGCAGGTTTATATTTTACGTGATGGTCCCGCGGACAGTTAGATGTTGTGAAGGATATGATTTAAAGATTATTTCCTAGCATTGAAAAAACCTCATTAAAACCGTTTTTTACCTTTCATTTAAACATAATTCTTTTTTACGATAACTCCTAAAATCTTAAAAAACTGTTTATCTCTAGAAAGTTCTAATTGTTTTTCTTGCGAGTAATTTAGTTAATATCTGCTTTTCTATAATTGTTGCAATACAACCGGAGAAGGTCGTTAACAAATACTTTATTTCTAATCTTAACAATTAATCTGAACAGGCCAAGGTTTAAATGATTAAAAACTACACTTGTTCATTTTAAAATTAGGCATCGTAATTTTACGAAATACATAATTCAACTGTATACGCAGTTATTAACTAGGGTTGTTCTTCAAAACTATAGTGTTTTGGAACTTATCAAAGGTTCCATGTTCAAACATCAACGTTATTGAACAATATTTTGTAATGCCTTTTAAGTGTCAAAAACAAATTGACCATCATTAGACGGAGGTATAGAGGGGAGACGGATATTTACCTGGAAGAACTCCTGAACCAGTTTCTCCACCTTACCGAGCTCTCCGTTCCCCTGGTTCACAACCTCCTCCTAGATAAAAACAAAACCATGGGTCAAAATATTTTATGTTACTGCTAAACCTTCATTCCTCCCCAGCGCAGTGTGAACTTTTATCTCTCTCCCCAACCCCTTACTTTGAAAAATAAATGATTTAAAGGAGAAAATTAAATTCAAGTATAAAAATGCAAACACATGCTCTAGTTTTTTTAATTTTTACTCCCCCGTTTCGCGTCACACCTTGAAAAAAAATATTTTTTAGTTTACAAGTATAAAAAAAAATGGAAAGACATGCTAGTTAAAGCCTAATATCCCCCCCCCCCCCAACAAAACAGCTTCATTTTACCTTCTTTACAACTAGAAGTTTCTCCAAAGCGTCGTAGGTTAGGCTCATTTTAGCAATCAATTCAAATCTGAAAAAAAGTTATTTATCTATATTTATATCTTAAAGTTCTTAGCTTGTTTATATATTTATTTATTTATTATATTTATTTATATTGCAAAATTACATGTGAAATAAAAACCCAATAGAAGGTGGAGGAGATTACAGAGATCAAGATAATGCTGGCCTGAGACTATTGACCCTCAGGATACTATTGTTAACTAACTACTTATTAATATATTTTTGTAACCTGTAAACAATAAATATCAGTTTTGTGTAAACCTCTAGACGCAGAACTTATATAACCAAGTTATTCTCATCGAGAAGTTAGTCCTAATGCAGTATAGCTTGATAGCCTGTATAGTAGGAAGAAGAGTTAAGTGTTTTATACCTTAGTTTAGCGTGGGAGACGCTTGAGTTTTATACCTTAGTTCAGCGTGGTAGACGCTAGAGTTTTATACCTTACTTTAGCGTGGGAGACGCTAGAGTTTTATAACTTAGTTTAGCGTGGGAGACGCTAAAGAGTTTTATACCTTAGTTTAGCGTGGGAAAAGCTAGAGAATACATGATAGATATTATCTTCAAAGAGAGAAATGAGTCGAGGTTTGACATTTAGAGATAAGACAGATATATTTCACATAGATCTTATCTGGATTTGGTTTAGTGTTTCGTTTCTTTTAAAACTCAACTTTTATTCATTTGAAGAGGTTCCATAGAACTCATGATTCATTATTGAATTAGTTTGCAAAAAAATTAGTCTGACATGTCCTACAATAATTTGTCCTACCATCATTTGTCCTACAAATCATTTGTCCTACAACTCATCTGTCCTACAATCATTTGTCCTACAATCATTTGTCCTACAAATCATTTGTCCTACAATCATTTGTCCTACAAATCATTGTTCTACAACTCATCTGTCCTACAATCATTTGTCAGACAATAATTTGTTCCTACCATCATTTGTCCTACAACTCATCTGTCCTTCAACTCATCTGTCCTACAAATCATTTGTCATACAATTATTTTTCCTACCATCATTTGTCCTACAATCATTTGTCCTACAACTCATCTGTCCTACAAATCATTTGTCATACAATTATTTTTCCTACCATCATTTGTCCACCAACTCATCTGTCCTTCAACTCATCTGTCCTGCAAATCATTTGTCCTACAATCATTTGTCCTACAACTCATCTGTCCTACAACTCATCTGTTCTACAACTCATCTGTCCTACGACTCATCTTTCCTACAAATCATTTGTCATACCATCATTTGTCCTACAACTCATCTGTCCTAAAACTCTTCTGTCCTACAATCATTTGTCCTACAAATCATTGTTCTACAACTCATCTGTCCTACAAATGATTTGTCCTACAATCATTTGTCCTACAATCATTTGTCCTACAACTCATCAGTCCTACAACTCATCTGCCCTACAAATCATTTATTCTACAAATCATTTGTTCTACAATTCATTGTCCTACAAATCATTAGTCCTACAAATCATTTATTCTACAAATCATTAGTCCTACAAATCATTTATTCTACAAATCATTAGTCCTACAAATCATTTGTCCTACAAATCATTTGTCCTACAAATCAGTTGTCCTACATATCATTTGTCCTACATACCATTTGGCCTACAGTTAGGAGAAATCATCATTTGTCCTAAATATAATTTGTCATAAGCTTCATGTCCTACACATCATTTGTCCTACACATTATTAGTCCTACTTTTTGTTTGTATTACACATCATTTGTCTTACATTATATTTTTCCTTTGCTTCATTTGTCCGTCAAATCATTTGCTTATGCTTCATTTGTCCTACTCTTTACTTATCCTCTAACTTGTCCTACTCTTTATTTATCCTTCACATCATTTGTCCTACTCTTTATTTATCCTTCACATCATTTGTCCTACTCTTTATTTATCATTACCATCATTTGTCCTACTCTTTATTTATCCTTCACATCATTTGTCCTACTCTTTATTTATCCTTCACATCATTTGTCCTACTCTTTATTTATCGTTCACATCATTTGTCCTACTCTTTATTTATCCTTCACATCATTTGTCCTAC